GTTGGCACAAACAAACACACACCGAATAACTTGCGGAAGAACAAACTATTTGAAATCTGCCCTACAGGAGTGATATAATGCAGCAAAGACACAAAAATGAACCACGTGTGTGTCTATGTGTGTGTGTGTGTGTGTGTGTGTTTGCGTTCAAAGTGCACTTACTATCAAGCCTGGCCGCCCTCTCATCGATTACACACTGCTTGGTGTACGAGTCTTCAATTGTGGGGTCATAGTCAGTGACAAAGTAGGACTGTAAGGAGAAGAAGAACAGGACAAAGGGAACATTTTAATGCATCCAGTATATTCGCTTTTAGAAAAACAAAAAAAACGGGGACTGAGGTAGAGAGTGAGCTAATTCAAAAACTGTGTTGTTGTCACTTCACGCCTATGAAGTCTGTTTACCGCAAGCTGATATTTGCAGTACACACTCTGGAAAACAACACACTTTACAGCTCTGTACTGACAGGAAGTCAAACCGACTTTCGAGTTAGACAACAAAACATTTACTCTTTCTTTTCCCAGATCTTCCTGGAGCTGTTTTGGCCATTTTCTGGAGCTCAACAAGAACAATCACACATCTGAGCTTTTATTGTCTTGAATAAATCTCATTTTATCATTTCAACTTGTGCCTCTTCAAATACCTACGCACCCAGCATGGGTATCTGCACGGAATACCTCAAAATGGAGAGATATGAGAAGAAACAGACACTCTGTTCTTGTGTTTTGGGTTAAAACAGCACAGACGGCCTTGCTGACCTCCACCTTTACTGGCGCTCTGCAGACAGGAGGTAAACACGCTGTCTGCAGACACTCGCACAGAAACTGTGAGGTAAAGGTTCTCCCACACGATAAGCACTGCTTGGGTTTTTAAGCCAGTGGCACATTTACAAAACGCTTCCTCCGCTACAACAGACACACACCATTTACTGCCAAACGCTTTGATTCTTTAATTCCAGAGCAAGTATCTGGTCTCTTAAGTAACCTAAACTGGGAGGGTGGGGCCGGGGAGTTGGGAGCAGGAGGAGGAGTCGAGCATTTTTTACATTTTTCCCATGTTTTGTTGTTCTTGCTCCCATCGGAGACTTGTTAAGTGGTGACAGCTGAGGGGAGTGCTCGGAGAATGTCAAACCAACACCCTAAGACATGGAGCGATCACAAGAACATAAAATCCAGACAAATTTCCCAGTCGTTCCAACGACAAGCCTAAATTAAACTTATCCATGAAAAGTGGGTGTTTTTTCTTTTTTTACAGCACACACGCAGCACTGCCTGTCAACAACAGCCTGACGGATGAGGAGGGTAATCCATAGAAAGCGGGTCAGACAGCAGAGAGAAGTGACCAACTGCGGGACTTAACACAAAAAAAGCTAATTCATGACATATGACAACTAAAAACCTGTTATCACCATTAAAGGCCTCTTAAAGAAGTATATGAAAAAGACGACTCACTGCTGACTGCATGATGGTGTGACTACACCTTTGAGAGACGTGGACATGCCACAGGACGGTCGTCTTTAGATTTGTGTTGCTATGCAATCAAATGGTGTTTTAAAGTTTGTGAACCTTTTCTGAACAATATGAACTAAAGGGCTCTTGGAAAGAGCGGTCCAGGTGCGTCCACATTTCTTCAGGATGAAAACACATTTATGTGACCGGCACAGATTTTCCTTTGGAATCATTTGCCGTTAATCCAGAATCTTTACTGAAATGCAAAGAGAAAGCCTAAACTAATACACTACCTCCGCCATGCTTGAAAGATGGAACGGCCTTATTGAGATCTGGTTTTTTTTTGTCTCCCCTAATTGAACCCATCATTTTGTTTTGGTCTTCTCATTTCTCAGCTTCTCTCACAAGCTTTAAATGATTAACACTAATGTCACTTTACATTAACGGCTCATGCAGAACATTTGCTTTTTTTTTCATGAATGAGTGATACTGCACAATATAACACTGAAACAATAGAAAAAGAGAGACAAAGTGTTATCATTTTGATTTTTTTAGTCTGATGGCCCTTTTAGTATATATTTTTTCACAAATATGAATTGTTGTGTCTAAACGTCTGCGGCATACAGGTTTCTTTTTGGCCCCCCCTGCACCCGGATGGATTTGCAGGAGACGGAGTGAATATCTTCCACGCGCTCTCCCGTTATCTCTGCTGCACGCACGTGTGCCTGCCTGTGTCACATCCACTAACCACTGTTCAATAATTCATCAGCGTTACTCTGCCTCCTCCAGCGTGCTTCACTGCGCAGCCTTCGTCCCACAAGTGTGCCCGTCTCTCTCATCCCCTCCGGCATCATAGTCCCAGACCTGGGCCTTCCACTTCCAGCCCTGTACCCGGCCGACACGGGGCGACTGCATTTAGCGCCGCGCTCCTCCGACTATTCCGCCCCTCCCCTCCGCGCTCGGGGTTAGCGTGGCTGCTTCGCCCCTGCTACGGTCGGGGCCGATTGTCTGTGTGTGCTGTGATAGATGAGGCTGTCCTGCAGTGCCAGCAGCGCGGGAGCCAGCACTAACAGGGCTGGAGTCCAGCCTGGCCCGGTTTCAGCTGGGCTCGGTGGGGAAGTGCAACATGACTCAGGAGGCCTACCAATAACTGTGTGATTCAAGCCAGCCTGAGTCACGTCCAGTAATATGACCCATAAATCCTTCTACTGAAGCATGATTACATCTGATGAACACCAGAAACGCAGTATCGGCCGCGCGAGTGAGGAGGAGCGACCGCACTGCTGACTGAAACATGCCCGGTAGCAAAGAAACACAGCTGATGTTTTTCTAGGTTTAGAAAACAGCCTTTGAGCCCATATTCGCAGATTTAGTAATGGCAGTTATTCAAATGTATTATCCTGTGAAGATATTTAGCAGTCATCATCACTTTGGCTGCACATGCTGTGAGAACATGATTTTGTTCGCTTCAGCCTTTCATTAGTTTTTTTATTAGGCCAAGGGGAAATAAAACAATGACAACCTTGAACACTCTTCACATTTTCTTTCCTTCAAAATGTTTAAAACCTGCTGGTGTTTTTTTAGATAATAATGAAAACAATTTGTTTCCCAAGTGACAAAAAGCTCTAATAACTTGTTCATTGTATTTGGATTAGCCACCTGAACTGAATTATAACAACAGTAAAGTTGCTCTGCACCATCCGCTGAAGCAGCTATGATGTCGGTGGTCCCTGTGGGGTCTGCAGGACTGTGTCACAGGCATGTAGGGGGGCAGAATTCTGGGACACGTTTTCATGAAAACATGGGACACTGAGATGAGGTCAGCATTGAGAGATAATCATCACCTCCACTCAGCAGAGCGATAGAAAAGTCAATTTTCAAACCGAGGTGTGTGGACTTCATGAGTAAAAAGAAAAGGAGTTCAGATGTTGAAGGGACATATATATATATTTTTTAAGGGGGAAATAAAGAGCAGCAGAAAACAATGAGAGACCGGCGTGTTGGGCCGCGCTGCCTTGCGGTTTAGATGCCGGTAAGGTGGGTCAGGCCACACTCGGCCTCGGTCAGCTCTGCAGGAAGGAAACTCCACCTCTGCAGCAGGCAGCTGGCCCAGTCGAGCCCTCGGGCGGCCATGACGTCACACATGACATGCTTTCCTACCACGCCTACCTACCAAAGTCCAAACCCTGTCACTCAGACGGCCATCCCGCGGCCCGTCCTTTAAACATAGCGTACCATCCAAAGTCACGCCCGCTAACCCCAGGAAAACATCAGAGGCACGTTTTCCACCCCAGTACAGGGCTCATGGATCAGTATGTACATGTTGAGTGATAAATACATTTATATTTTATGAACTGGTGATCACATGTGTGATAACTAAATGTTATAAATGGTTAATTCCAATAAATAGTGAAAAAACAGCCATCACACACACAAATTCAATAAATGCTCACTTTTAACACACCAAAATCAGCAAATGTGTATGACTGATAAGTGACTCAAATAAAAGGATAATAATCAAAATCACAGCAGTGCGATTCTTTGCCTCAGATGGGTCTAAAATGTGCCAGAAACTGACACACTTTGCTTTTTTATTTATTTATTTAGTTCTACAATGTCATGCATAAGTTTACCATCGAGTTGAGCTTCTAATGATACACAGGAATGAATGCATGAAGGGCCTACACGAAAGAAAAATGGATTGCATCAAACAGGTGTGGGACTTTGTTAGTCTTCTAAAGCAAGATGGCGTTTGCATAAAAATCTGAAGTCAAAGCAGCTGATCGGGTGTCTGTTTCTCGACAGCTCACAATGTGAAGCAATAAATCCTTACAACTGCTAGCTGTCTGTTTCAAGGAAAGCAAGAATGGGTGATGTGAGTAGGCGTGTAATCAACATCATGCTTGCACTATGCACCCACTTCCTCTCCACACAAACAGCTTTGCTATCACTAAATATAGACACTTTTCCATCTCCGTCAGTTATCCTACATTCGTAGTTAGAGGAGCCCCTTGATCTGCAAACGGCACGATTTTTGTCTACATACAACACAAAATCACAGTTTCATTAAAAACGGGGATGAAACTGACATTTGGGAGAGCTGTAAGGTAAGCACAGTGCCCGCCCTCCCCTCTGTCATGACGAGAGGGAATGCTGAGCTAATACAAATGGTCTAGACGCAGTTCGGAGTTAATTACCTTCCGCGTATGGCCCAATGCCCATGGAAAATCACAAGCCTTGACTTGAGAATCGTCACCCGCAGTTAGCTTTAATTAAGGGGAAATGTAGTTCGAATTGCATTAAAAACAAATGATTCTGGGGAAAATTCTGTCGGCATATGCAGATTTAAAATATTCCCCAGGCCCGTTCATCCCCCGCCCCGGCAAACCGCACAACCTCCCACAACATCCAGTAGTAAAGCATGTTTTGATGACTGAAATTGTGGAAGACCTCAGTCGCATGATGCATTTTCAAAAGTTCCACATCTCAGGGTGCGGGACACACACAGGTGGGGTGGGAATGAGCTGCATTTGGTTTCATGCAATGAACCGAGTTCACTATCAGATGTCTGAGCAAGCTATTTTTTTGTTGTCCTGTAGGGAAATTTCTCCAAATAAGGATTTTGTTTTGTTTGAACTTTTGTTTAATTTCCATCTAAACCAGGAAAGTTGTTAAGATGAATAAAAATAATCTATTTTTACTATGGGAGCCTGGCAAAAGGCAGCAGCCTCTTGAGAAAATGAGTAAAAGATTCTCTTACACTGAGTGCGGAGCTTGCGTCCTCGCTGTTGGTTCTGCTGACGG